CTTCGTTAGTACACCCCCCCACCCCACACACACACACACACGCACACTTGGTAAGGTACTCCCATCTTTTCATGTACTGTGTATATATATCTCCCTACTGTATTTTCCACTCTGTGCATCTGATGAAGTGGGTTTTAACCCACAAAAGCTTATGCCCAAATAAATTTGTAAGTCTCTAAGGTGCCACAGGTACTGCTCGTTGTTTTTGCTGGTACAGACTAACACGGCTACCACTCTGAAATTGAAGTGTTTTTAAACATATTGGAATGTGAGAGTTGAGTAACTTTTTAATCATACCTGATTAGTCCAAATAGGTGCCTGATGAATAAGGCCTTGAAAATCTAAATAATCAAGATATTGTGATAAAATGCAAAAGTAGGAAGAGAGAATATGGCAACTAAAAATAATGAATCTCCCAACACTTTCCGCAAGTTCATATCACACTCTTATTTTATTTTGACAGCAAATTCTGGACTCGAAATCGGCCTGGAGATAAAATGAGAGATCGTTACAACCTGAACCTGCTGCCAGGAATGTCAGAGGATGGCGTGGAATATGGTAAGGCTATTGCCATGAATTCAGAAGAATGGAGGGTTGGTGTCAGGAGCAAGCCCAGAGCACTTAGCTACAATTCTAATCCAGTTTCTGGGTGACATGATGAAATATAATAACATTGGTGACTGGGTAGATGAGGAGTTTTTTTTAGTGGGATAATCTCTCATTCTCCATTATATCTAGGTCCCCATTCCAACAATGAGTTTTCTTTTGTTCTGCAGCTCCAGGAGGTAGGACCAGCTCTGTCAATCACAGGAAGGAGGTTTGGCTCTCCCTCTGGGAAAATTCCCAGTTTGTTCTGCCTCCTGAAAACTTCAGCATGTGACTTCAAGATCTCCCACAATCCTGAGCTACAGAGCACAGGAAAACCTTTTAAATTATTGAACTGGACTCAAAATTCCTTTATCTTAAGTCTTTTTCCTCTTTTAAGGCTTTTTCTTGGCAATGTCAGGTCTTTCAGGGTTGCCCATCTCCCCGCCTGTCCCATGGGTTTGTCTTTTTCATTCAGATAATTGATTACATTGTGTCCCAGAATTTTTTTAGATCAAAATTTTCCATGAATTTTTCATTGTATCTATATTTATGAAAGTACAACAGGGAATTCTATTGGAAAGCATGTTTCTTTCCCCAGTCTCTTTCACAGAAGCAGCTTTGCTGAAAGGACATTTGTTGTAGTCTTATGCGTGGTTTTCCATCTCTGAATTTCTAGGTCTTATTTTAATATCTTGCAGTTCCTGAGTGAGACAAAGTGTGCCCCAGCATCTGTGAAATATGTAGGGAATCTAACTGTATGCAAAAATTGTATCAAATAATAAGACAACTTCCAGGAAAGACATTACTGATCTAAAATCCTTGCTGAAATCAGTCTATTTGTTTTCCACCTCTAGATGACCTTGAACCCAACAGCCTTGCAGTGATTCCTGGGATGGGAATACCTGAGCAACTGAAACTAGCCATGGAACAAGAGCAGATGGGTAAGAGGGAGCAATGATGCATGCAGGCTCATTTTCATAAGCTATTCAGCTACTGGTTGGCTCTTTCTCATATTTCTCATCTGTCGTGGGGGCCTGAGGAGAAAGAAAGTGATGTATTTCTTTCACATTGAACTTCTCTGACATTCTGTGTAGTGCATGTTTTCAATGTTAAGACGGAAATGAACAGGGTTTCCTGCTCCCCTTGTTTAAGTAGAGACTCAAAAAATTAACAAGATTTCTTCATCTTCCTTTGTATGCTGACTGTGCTGTTCCTCCTCACGTTCAAGGGAAAGATGAGTCAAATGAAATTGAGATGACAATCCCAGGGCTGGACTGGGGAATGGAGGAGGTGATGCAAAAGGACCAAAAGAAAGTGCCACAGAAAAAAGTGCCCTATGCAAAACCAATCCCAGCACAGTTTCAACAGGTAAGTACATGATACACAATGATACACCAGACTAAACCGATTTTAGCCCAACTATCAATAGCCTGTACCTGATACAACACTCCAAATTCTAGCTTCTGTAGATCAATATCCAGTGCAGAATAATTCACCAAACCAGTTCCAGTTCATGAACATTTGAGAATAAAATATTTGGTTAAATCCCTCCAATCCGAGGTTACTACCTAAAATAGTAAGTATTTTGATTTTAGATCTTCACTTCCCTTATAGGCTTGGATGCAGAATAAGGTCCCTATCCCTGCTCCACCTGAGCTGATGAATGACAGAAAGGAGGATATTAAACTAGAGGAGAAAAAGAAAACACAGGCAGAGATCGAGCAGGAAATGGCAGCACTTCAGTACACCAACCCACAGCTCTTGGAGGTATGTAAGGAAAGTTAAACTATAGCAAATACCAACCGAGTGAGTGTGCTTGGATAAAAGACAAAAAGAGGAAGTGGTGGAAAGCAGAGTTAATCACTGTAGAGAAGAAAGCAGAAGTTAGGTGAAATATATGGTGCACTTCATTAAAAATTATTAAAATAGCACTTCTTAGTGGTGAGTATAATCAAAAGCATTGCTGGAATAAATTGAAAATTAAATAAGGGCAAGTAAATACTGAACCTGACCACCAAACTATGACGTTGGCTTATTGTGACACTGATGATGAGTTGGCAGCATTTCAGTTAACTTTATCCTGTTGAGTTCTTATTCTTTTTAATGGTATCTCTATTTATCAGTCAGGTTAAAAGTGTTAAAGCTTTGTTCAGAGTTCCCTTGTTCCCAAAAGTGAAATGATTATGTCTGCTTTCCAGTAGTTCTGCATACATGTATGTGCAGCCTGTTTAAATGTGTATTTGTTTTCTGACAGCAACTGAAGATTGAGAGACTTGCACAAAAGCAAGCTGAGCAAGTCCAGCAGCAGGCACCACCTCCAGGAGGCCCTCTGCATGGACCCCAGCCTTTCCCAGGACAAGGCCCAATGTCGCAGATGCCTCAAGGATTTCAGCAGCCCATTCCACCTCAGCAGATGCCAATTAATATGCCTCAAATGGGACCCCCTGGTCCACAGGGACAGTTCAGACCTGGAGGACCCCAGGGACAAATGGGACCCCAAGGTCCTCCATTACATCAAGGATCTGGAGGTCCCCAAGGCTTCATGGGACCACAAGGACCTGCAGGTCCCCAGGGACCTCCGCAAGGACTGCCAAGACCTCAGGATCTACATGGGCATCAAGGAATGCAGAGACATCCTGGACCTCATGGGCCCATGGGGCCTCAAGGGCCACCAGGTCCACAGGGTAATTCTGGCCCCCAAGGTCACTTAGGACCACAAGGTCCACCTGGGTCTCAGACTCATTTAGGGCCGCAAGGTCACTTAGGTCCTCAAGGTCCCCCTGGTGGTCAAGGAATGCAGGGGCCACCTGGTCCAAGAGGAATGCAAGGGCCTCCTCTTCCTCATGGAATGCAAGGAGGTCCAGGATCTCAAGGGATGCAGGGCCCTATATCTCAAGGGCCTTTGATGGGACTTAATCCAAGAGGGATGCAGGGTCCACCAGGGCCCCGTGATAATCAGGGACCTGCTCCACAAGGGATGATGATGGGTCATCCGCAAGAAATGAGAGGACCTCACATGCAGGGTGGTTTACTCGGACATGGTCCCCAGGAGATGAGGGGCCTACAGGGACCCCCACCTCAAGGTTCAATGTTAGGACCTCCACAGGAGTTACGTGGGCCACCAGGTGCACAAGGCCAGCAGGGGCCTCCAAAGAACTCTTTAGTTGGGCCTCAAGGAAGTATGCAAGGACCATCGGGACCTCCGGGACAGCAGAATCCTTCAAGGGGGTCACATCCTCCCCAGGGTCCACTACCTTTCCAGCAGCAGAAAACCCCTCTGCTTGGTGATGGGCCTCGTGTCCCATTCAGTCAGGTATGTCTGAGTCAGCATAATGCTGAAAGTGTTGGGAATGTAGGAAGGATATGCTGAGTATTATAGTTATACAGTATGAACCCTCAATAGCAAGAGGTGGGGTTCCGAAGGGTAAGTGCAGTTGGAAAATAATGAAGCACCATTACCTGTGAGTTAATGAAAACGGTTATATAGCTTGAAACAGCAATAATAAAGATAGAGAAGGAAGGATTACTAATACTGATGTAGAATTAATGTCTGGCAAGAAAATATTTAACCTCAAAATAAATCTGTTATCTAATTAAGACAGAGGAGTCCCCACACTGAACTCTTGAAAACAGGGAGCCTCCGACAAAAAATTCAGAAAAGTTGAATTAAGCAAATTTCTCATACTTATTCTCAGCTGTTCAGGTGACTTTTTTTGAGGAAAATTTTTGTAAACTTCCATCTAGCCATTTCTGAGAAATGAGTGTGGTGCTTTTCACAAGTCGTTTTTGTAGATTTTTACTTGTCTTCATATGACTAAACAGCTTCTTTTTAAACGTTAAACTGGCATGGATTTGCTGCTCAGTTTAAAAAAAAAAGTTAAGAGTCATCTGAAATACTGTGCCTGTTCCTGAGTCCCCATATGGAATTATTGTTAGGGGGGTCTACTTAAATTGCAGAGAAATCACACATTTTTCATGGGTTGATCATAAATAGCAAATTTTGCAGATATGTTACACATCTGTGAAATTTGCTATTTATGCTGTGACCAACCCATGAAAAATGTGTGATTCCTCCACAGCGTTTTTCAAACTACGGGCCCTGACCCAAAAGGGGGTCACAGGCCTATTGGGGGTTGCGTTATTGCCACCCTTACTTCTCCTCTGCTGCTGGCGGCAGCGCTATCTGAAGCTGGGAAATGGGAGAGCAGTGGCTGCATGGTATTGCCACCCTTACTTCTGTGCTGCTGCTGGCGGCGGTGCTGCTTTCAGAGCTGGGCACCTGGCCAGCAGCCGCTGCTCTCCACTCTGCCTTCAGAGCTGGGCGGCCGGAGACCAGATTTCACAAATCTGTGATGTGATTTTTTTTATGGTCACGAATTTATGGCCATAGACAGATCACGTGTACTTCTTTATGTATATGTGGGGTGGAGGTAAAACCAATAAAGGAGCCACAGTCTCCAGGGCTTTGAAGCTTTGCTGGTTTGCAGAAGAAAAAAAAATGCAAATTGAGGGCCTGATCCAATATCCATTGAAATTAATGGAAGTTTTTCCACTAACTTCAGTGGGTGCTGGATCAAACTGAGTGTGTGTAAATATATTTGTGTTAATAATAATAATAAAAAAGAAAGAAGAATGTGTGTGTGTGTGTGTGTGTGTGTGTGTGTGTGTGTATGTACGTATGTGTGTGTCTGTATATATTTATTGGGGGAGGAAGGGGGATGCAGGCTGTAGCTGTGTCCCAGCTTCCCTAGCTGGCAGCCCTGCAAAGCTGCTGCTTTCCATATGGAGCAGGGGCGCTGGGACAAGTCAAGCCTGTGCCCCAGATGCCAGACCAGGACGCAGCCTGGAGAGCATAGGAAGAGGTACTATACAGCCCCATGGACCCCCAGCATCCCCACTCTCCATAGAAAGCTCCAGTATCTGGGCAGCAGCCCCCCTCCCCACTGCGGCCCTGCCTGCAGAATATCCTGGGGCCCAGTATCAGCATATCCCAGCACTTCCATCTCTGGATGCAACCCCGCAAACCTGACTTTCGCTTATTAGCAACTGTCCAATAATGGCAATCTTTGCTGTCCTCCGAAGGGTTGCTAATAAGCAGAGTCATGTGTGTTTGTGTTTGAATAAATACCAAAAACTGTTAACATTGCATAGTTAAGTACTGAGAAGTTCAGAAATGTTAATGTTATACATTGTTTGCAGTGTTGATGTAGCCATGTTGGTCCCAGGATATGAGAGAGACAATGTGGGTGAGGTAGTAGCTTTTATTAAACCAACTTCTGTGAGTGGAAGAGAAGCTTTCAAGCTTCCCAGAACTTTTTTTCAGGTCTGGAAAAGATGACCAGAATATTACAGCTCAATATGAGGTGGGATAAATTAAGCATAACACATTTCAGGAGACCAGTTAACATGAAGTGAGCAATTAACATCTCTGCAGTTATAGGACATAGGAGGGTTAGTCAGTTACAGATTGTTTTAATGAGCCATAAAACCTGTGTGTAGTGTGACCAGAAAGCAAATGTGAAAAATTGGGACAGAGGGTGGGGGGTGGGTAATAGACACCTATATAAGAGAGAGCCCCAAATATCGGAACTGTTCCTATAAAAGCGGGACATTTGGTCACGCTACCTGTGTGTCTGTTGAGTGCATGATTTTCAGTGTCTAGCAGAGTTATGAATTTAAGTTCCTAGGCTCGTCTTTTGAAGGTATTGTGTGGGTTTTCTTTGACGATGAGGACCGAGGCATCAGTTGTGAGGTGATCACTTTGTGAAAAGTGTTCACCCTCGGCTAGTAAAGTGCTTTTGTCTGTTATCATTTTTCTGTGTAAATTTATTCGAGAGCATAGTGATTGTCTGGTTTCACCCACATAATTGTTAGGCATTTGATGTACTAGATGAGGTACACCATATGTTGTGATAAGCATGTGTAGGACCCATGGATCTTGAAAGGTGTGTTGTGGAGGGTATTGGTCATCGCAGCAGCAGAAATATATCTGGTGCCTCTTTGAGTTGGTTTGTCCTGGTCTCTGTTACACATTAAACTATTATGCGTTAATAACAGTGATGACGCTTTCAATTATTACAACACTGTCAGTGATGTTTTGTTAATACATTTTAATGTAAATACACTGTTACTGCTTAAAATGGTTGAATACTTTGAACCTGGAACATGTTTTTATGTCAGCTTGAAAATTTCAGTTTTAAATTTGCTTTCAAACCAATAGAAGGTATAAATTCTGTATATACATTCTCACTCATTATTCCCCCCCACACACACTGTTATTCACATTGAGTAGCACACTTTACTTCACAGGTAGCCCCATTTGATTACTTGAAGATATTAGAATCAAATGGTTACAAGATCCATGAATGTTTCTGTATTTAGCATTTGGAGATCTATGAAGATGTCCACTGTATGTAACATTTATCAAATTTGTTACTGCCCTTTTGCTGTAATTTTGAGAGTTAATGTTGTGTATTATACATGGAAACCACATGGCCTCTTGGGTTTTGCAGGAAGGACAGAACCCAGGTCCCCCACCATTGATACCAGGACTGGGGCAGCAGGGAGGACAAGGCCGTCTTGCCCCTCACAACCAAGGACCTGGCCCTAATAAAGGTAACTAAACATCTTAAGTAACCCTCCAAAGAGAGTCACATCCCGTGGGGTGCCTCTAGGCCCTAACACAGCATGTGGGGTAGGTGCACATGGGGGGGGGTATGCTCAGGACTCTGGTAAGAATATGGTGGAAAACCTTACAACAAATGGCTGACAGTGTTTTAATGTGTGTTTTCATAGAATTATAAAAGCTAGACAGTTCCCTGGAATGTTTTTAGAAAACATCACAGAAATCTGCTGTGTCTTTCACTTCAGGTGACAACCGTGGCCCACCAAACCATCACATGGGCCCTCTCTCAGAAAGAAGGCATGACCAAAACAGTGGTGGTCCAGATCATGGTCCTGAGAGAGGGCCATTCCGAGGTGGCCAGGAGTGGGGTGATGGTAGGGACAACAGGGGCCTGCCTGATAGACGAGGACCTCACCCAGATTTTCATGATGACTTTGATCGACCAGATGATTTTCATCCAGATAAGCGATTTGGCCACCGCTTGCGTGAATTTGAGGGGCGAGGCGGCCCACTGCTACAAGATGAGAAATGGAGACGAGGTGGCCCAGGGCCTCCCTTTCCCCCTGATCACAGGGACTTTGAAGGAGGGGGCCCAAATCGTGGCCCTCCTGGGCCTTGGGAAGGACGGAGACCCTCTGATGACAGATATCCGCGAGAACCTGAGGATGCAAGATTCCGGGGAAGACGGGATGAAAGGTAAGAACAAGTTCATTTGGTGCTTTTGGGTAAAGGTAACTGGAGGGGATCTTCCTCCCTGGTTTCCTTTTCATAAGGAGTCTATCTATTTCAGATTTATAAACTGGAAACCAATAAGGAAATGAAAACTCTAATGTGCCCGAGTATAGAGTCCATAAAATCATTCAGTAATAGAAGAGAACTTGAAAAAGGTCATTGCACACAACAGCTTCAGTGCCTGTATACAGTAAGTAAAGAGAAGGGAGGAAATCTGTAGAGAAGATCGGGTGATGCAGGCCGAAGATTTGAGATCATATTGACAAGAGTGAACAGGAAACTGGAAAGTCAGAGATTTCCACACTGAAGCGACAAACTTTTGAACACTAGATATGGAGATTGATACTTTGCCTCCAATCACAAACTACAGCATGAGTATAGAGTGTATCTGAGTGAGATGTAATATACAGTTAGGGAGCAGGAACAGTGAACCTACTATCAAGTACAAGGGGCATGGATACGCCCTCTTTTGGACTGTCAAGACTATTTTCTCATGTTTTTGCTCTTAGGAGTCTTCTTTCGCTTTCTGACATATTTCTTTCTCACTACCAGGTGAAAAACACAAACAGAAATAATCTAGTTTCCTAGCAATAGTCATCTCATCACTCACCAAGTTGCCCTGAGTAAACCTCAAAGGAAAAAGTTTTGCTTCTAGTTAATCACTAAATATGGAATAACTCCTTAAAAATCTGTGAAGTTCATTGACATTGAAGTTACTCCACATTTACACTAGTATAATTGAGAGCAGAATTTGGCTTCTCAGGGTTTAAACCTCTCATTAACCTACTGCATATGTATATATACACATGTATATATTTGTAAAAACTTATTGTTGTCTTCACATAATGTACAATCCTCTCTTTTAGTTGGCTTTTTAAATAATTTTCTTAGATTCCTTTTACTTTACACCTATACAGCTCTCCTTTTAGCTACTTGCTACCTAACTTGTAAGATGTACCTTCCTGTTGTGTGAGGGGTATGAAAAGAAATGAACAATAACTAAACAAAGGTAACCTCTGAACACCTTTAAAAATAAATTAGAGTAACTAAAAACAGAGAACTCCAGAGCTGAATGGTCTGAATCACAGAATTCTGAAAGAGATGGCAGACTAAATTAAACTATAGTTGTAGCTGGGGGTTTTTAACCCTTTGTTGGAAGTAAGGGTCGGGGACTGAGAACAAGCTAATGTGTCATTCTGATTTTAAAAAGGCCTCAAGAGAAGAGTCCAGGAAACTGCAGACCTGTAAGTTTGACCTTTGAAGTGGGAAAGATTCTATTGTCACAGTACCAGGGATCAAAATAAGAGAACATTTTTACAGTTGGTTAGAGGCAATCATCATAGAACTGTAAGAAGTATTATGATTAGCAAACTTAAATTATTTGAGCAAGTGAAGAGGTGAAATAGACATTAAATACTGGAGATTTTATGGGGTGATCCCAAGAATTCCAAACCACTCATTCCATTTAGTTTTGAGTTTAAACACCATAACTGGTTTGATTATGCATGAGTGGTATGTATGTGTTTATCTCTCTCTCTGGTTTCCTGTCCTTTCATCCCTGTCCTGTTCCTACTCCACTTGTGCACATCAACATGATGCTTCTGCTGCAGAGACCTGCCTATTTTTTTCCTGTTATTCTGCACAGTGTGTAGTTCTGTAAATTAAGTTCCTATGTCTCATGAAAGAGGATTTGAGACTTGTCAAACAGAAACTGAGCACTACACCAGTCAGAATTTCATATGTGACTGTGATTTGAAAAAGGGTATTTATGAGCCCAAATTAGGGGCTATGACTGTGTCCAGCATAGTAGTGATAGAACTCCAAACTGAATTCTTTGGCCATTAAATTGCTTGAAAAACAGGAAGTAAGGCATTGATCCTGGCTGTCATAGGACCTTGTCTTGTGACCATAAGATCTCACGAGCTAAACAGCTTCAGACAACCTAGTCAGTATTTAAATGGGAGACCCTCTAAAGAACACGTAGGATTGGTCTACATTAGAGAACTGTGCTGTTCCAAGGTTAAATAGTATTGCTAAGTGTTATGGAACCATTTGTTCCTGAAACTGTTCAGTTTGTCTGCCCTAATAATCTAAATTACTGTAAAATGGTTCATTGTCCATGCACAGCACTCCCTTCAACCACTGCTGTACCTCTCCAAGCACAGCTTCCTCATCTCTGTATTGTGTTTGTCTTTTCCAGGAGGTGGAGATCTATTGTGTTAATTTAAAAAAAAAATGTATCACCAAGTTTAAAAATATTGTATTGTGTTATGACTACTGTTACAAATATTTAAATTTGTAATTATAAGGTTACTGTTGTTAAAATCCTAAATAAAAGTATTTAAAGCTTTGCTTGTAATAGGATGCACTGTGTCTTTAATGAGATGGGGGAAGGGGATGTTGCACAAAGCCAAGACAGTCTGAGTACCACCTCTGCTGCAGTTTGGCTGGTATGGAATTGGGATGGGGTGGAAGCGTGTTAACAAGTGGGCAGAGACAGTGCTCTGAGTTGTCAGAGCCATCACAGCAGGGTGGCCAGGAGTATTGTGGAACTGCATTGTGAGCACTAATTGAACCTAGAATAGCTGCACCACCTAAACTTTTCATTTATGCTGGTACAGAAGCTATTCTGAGCTGGTGTGCACTGAAACAGTTACAACAAACTGAGCTGGTGCACTCTGTTGGAATTGTACTTAGAATGTGCGAAACATTACAAACACCTTTGTGCAAGGACACAGTGTTCTACCTACATTCCAGGTGCTGTAAATACCAAAATGTTCACTCCATGCATCTGATGAAGTGGATTATAGCCCACGAAAGCTTATGCCCAAATAAATATGTTAGTCTCTAAGGTGCCACAAGGACTCCTCGTTGTTTTTGCAAAATTATCTAGCGTCTAGACAAGATTCTAGATGCTACAAGAAGTGGTGCAGTAGGAGACACTCTTCTCTCTGAAGAAATTCTGAATTAATATCTCAGCATGATGATTGTGCTTCTTTAAGATAAGATGTAAATCAAGGTCCTGATCACATCAAATCATTAAAGCTCCCCTGGTACGTCTTACAAGGAAATGTTACTTCACTGCCCCAACCAAAATGATTTTGGATAACTGTATTCTGCCAGACTAAATCCCCCAGTATTTCAACTGAATAAACTGTTCTTCATGTTGCAGTATATTGCTATGCACTGTTAAACAGTTGCCATCACCACAGAGGTGGCTGCACTCCAGAATCAGTTGCTAAATTTGTAAATCTTACAGAGACCCTTCGGGATAAAAGGTGCTGTATAAATTTTAGATAATTTTATGCCAGCAAAAGAAACCAAATTGAGTAAGATTCAGGAATTAAAATTCTTCTATCTAGCCATGGAATGAGACTCTTTTGTTACTTGTATTTTTACTTTTGGTTTCATTACTAAGGAAATGGCTTTTTAAAAAAATACAGGTGCTAGCACATCACATTTTAAGGAATTTCACTCATCCCACTTTGAAAAAAAAAAATTGGCCCTGAACTTGAACCTCTCCTTACTCACACCCACCATCACTCCCTAACCTTTCACTTTTCATTAAATGGACACTGTCTACCTGCAGTCTAGTCAGTCTTTTTCTCTTCCGTGTTCCTATGTGAAAAACTGAACAAACAACAGGAGAAAATTGAAGAGGGGAAACAATGAAAATGAATAAGCACAAAGTAAACGAGAAGTTTTTTTCCCCAGTAATCTCTTCCAGTGCTAATAATTGTAGATGTTGTAACAATAGTAGGTAAACATTTCAGACACAAGTTTAATTATTAAATTGAAAATGACCCTTTAGTTCATTAGTGATTAAATTCTGCATAAAAAACGTGTTTGTACCGTGTTCTTTCTTGCAGTTTCAGAAGAGGAGCACCCTCAAGACATGAGGGGCGGGGACCCAGGGGAAGGGATAGTTTTCCTGGGCCAGAAGACTTTGGGCCAGAAGACAATTTTAACTCATCAGATGAGAACTCAAGAGGACGAGATCATGGTGGTCGGGGGCGAGGTCGAGGTGCTCCGAGAGGTAAGTGAACATTCTTCCAAATTGAAACCCATGTGAAAGTCAGTGACAATAGCGCCGAAGTTGTTAATATAGTTAATGAGTACAGTGTCCTATGTTTCTTACTTCGCAGGAGGCCGAAAGGGTCTACTTCCCACTCCAGATGAGTTTCCCCGCTTTGAAGGAGGGCGGAAACCAGAATCCTGGGATGGAAACAGAGAACCAGGTAAAAACTGGGGTATTACCATTGTGATTATCTAGTCTGACCTCCTGTATAACACAGGCTGTAGAACTATCTTTCATTAATTTCTTTGAACTGGAAAAACATCCAATCGTCATTTCCAGTGATGGAAATCTTTAGACACTATCTTTAGAAAATGGCTGGTAATTACTCTTATGTAGCTGTTACTTAGAACTGTTCTGTAAATTCCTAGTTTATCATCTCTCATTCTGCAGCTCTGCTGATCATTCTCCTTCTGTCCTTCCCCATTAGCAACATGATGCTACTTTTTCTGTGTTCCTAAGTTATTCAACATGTAATGGACTCTATATGCAGCTGTCCCATCAAAGACTGAACTTGGCCTCCCTCTGTCACTTGAGTTTGATTTTAGTTTGAAATACAATAGCGCCCATTCAATATTGCCTGTCACAATCATTCTTTTAAACCTCATTCCGTTATAGCAGAGGTGGGCAAACTATGGCCTGCAGGCCACATCCGGCCTGCGGGGTCGTCCTGCCCAGCCCCTGAGCTCCCAGCTGGCCCCGGCCCCTCCTCTGCTGTCCCTCCTCCCCCACAGCCTCAGCTCATTGTGCCAGCAGCGCGGCGGCATGGCTGGCTCCGGCTGGGCGGCGCGGCTTAGGGGCAGATTTAACAGTGAACACAGGGTGGCTGGCTCCGGCTGGGCGGCGCGGCTTAGGGGCAGATTTAACAGTGAACACAGGGTGCCTGGCATGGGGCCCCCCAACAACAGGGGGCCCTAGTGCCGGGTACTCGGGCAGCTCAGCACCGGCACACCCTCCACGGGGGGGGGAAGGGCTGCACTGCGGGGGCAGGAGAGTAGGCAGGCCGTGTGGGTGGCAGGAGCGCAGCGAACGCAGCCAGAGGACAGGAGGAGCACCGGGCAGCTGCGCAGCAGGCCAGAGAGAAGGGGAAACCGCAGCTTCTCTCCGGCTGCGCAGTTGCCTCTGCTCCTATTGAGTCCTCCGCCCATGTTCGCAGGACCGCATTCCAAAAGGGGTTGTGGGAGGTGGATAGGGGTTGGGGTTCCAGGGGGGCGGTTAGGGGCAGGGGGTCCTGGGAGGGGGCGGTCAGGGAACAGGGAGCAGGGGAGAGTTGGATAGGGGGTGGGGTTCCGGGAGGCAGTCAGGGGACGAGATCCTGGGAGGGGATGGTCAGGGGATGAGGAGCAGAGGGTGGTTGGAGGGGGTGG